AACCTTGCTTTACGAGATAATGTGGAATCTTTTCTTCGATCCTAAACTTCTTATCTGCTCAAAACCATTTGCTGCAAAGGAGCTGCTCAGTCATGGTCTGAAGGCAGAGTTATGGGTCCTGCTCTTGGCACCTTTCCTATGACTGACGTGCCTATGAACAATTCTTTTTACTTCATTCCATATCTATGATATCTTACCATCTCTACGTGATGGGAAGCTATCTTTCTGACCAGTTGGGAATTAGGAGGATCTGCCTTTCTTTTCATTCTAATCTTTTTACTTTGATTACAGTAGTGGCCAAAATTGTGGAAACCTTTTGGGAAAAGTGTACAGTAGAAATGCCACCTTTGGTTAACTTTCCACCCATTTTTCTTCTACTTTCTTTATAACTGTAGCCTTGTTCACTTAATAATACTAGTTTACATCGCTTTCTGGGCGAACAGTCAACTCTTTGCACCATTACTTTAATTTTATTACTTTTTACAAGCTCACTAAATGAAAGAACACAAAAAACCCAACCAACTTGATAGCAATCACATAACACACTGACAAATATCCTTCTCTCAGCTTCAATATATGACATCAATAACTGAATCCTACTGTGATCTGACTGTGATCTGATTGCCAAAACAAGATGACACCTGATCGGCTCTCTAAACACTCATACTCATTGGCTACAATCACATGAAGGAAAGCTACCTGATATTAACCTAAGCAAGTTATGCTTCCTTTTTCTGGTTATTTGGCTATAACTTTTCATAGAATACAGTACAGATAATTGAACAAACTTTGTTGCATTACATTCTTGATTAAATTATCTTTCCATTGATATATAATTTTATGGCACTACTCCCAAAACAAAGTGGTGTTATTAGCCATCAAACCTCAAAAATACACTTTTCCCAAAAGGTTTCCACAATTTTGGCCACTACTGTAAATGAAATAACATAAAATTGCCAGTCTAATGGCCGATTTCTGCAATTGCTTGATTTGCATTGCCTGGCACAGATGTTTTGGCAAAGTTATGAATGTTTCCTAACTTTTTCCTTGCTGGTCCACAGATCTGTGGTTCGTGAAGTCCACTATTTGGTTAATGTGTTACTACAATATTTTTGATTAGAACCCAGCGGTTTCTTCTTACACTGCATACGTTTGACTCTGATTTGGAGTTGCTGACTCACAGGATTATTTCAATCATTCAGCTGTTAGAGATGAAGCTAGATTTTCATCACAGCTGTGCAAATTCTCCTTGCGGCATTTAAGCCCGAAGAATGGGTGCCGGCTTCATTCTTTTGATGTGCTGGTACATTAAATGTTAGATGAAATGATCATTTTGAGCTCCATTTCACCCTTAGATGGCTCTCCCACAATTCATTAGCGCTCAGTAGCTTCATTGGTCAATGAGGTAGGGCCGTGGTGGCAAACCTATGGCACACGTGCCACAGGTGTCACGCAGAGCCCTCTCTAGGCACACGTGCCATCGCCCCAGTCGTAGGCCTTCAGCTGGGTTTTATAAAACCTTTTCGCTTTAGGCCTCCGTCGCCGTGTGCAAAAAAAAAAAGTTCAATCAATCAATTTCAACTTCTGGTAGGAAAAAAAAGATCTCGCAAAGTTGGAATTGATTGAACTTTTTAGTCCCACCCAGTCTGCCGTTACCACCGCAGCCACGCCCACCCGGCACCCAATGATACATAACTGGGTTTTGGGTTGCAGTTTGGGCACTCGGTCTCTAAAAGATTCGCCATCACTGAGGTAGGGGGAAGAAGGGGGGAGCATTGTTTTTACTGAAAAAGGTATAAAACAAATCAAGGTATGTTTTTCATCTCTAAAACGTCCCTCTGGGTTTCTGTTTCCAGAGAGACCTACATAGAACAAGAACGAGGAGAAAACGCAAACGACCGGAATGACCGAGCCATTCGAATTACAGCCAAGTGGTATCAGGAGCACTTGAGAAAATCGCAAGGGGAAGAAAGCATCCTGGTCATCTTGCTGACGAATGACCGCAGGAATAAAGAGAAAGCTGTAGAAGAGGGAATAGTCACGTTTACCTGTAAGTCCGGCCTTCTGACCTTTCCTGACTACGGATAATTTCCTAAGAGCCGCAGAAGGGCCCAGCTGCATTTGGCTTTTTCCTTCTCGGGGATGGCTGAGCAAATCTTCCTCTTGGGCTTAAAATGCTCTCAGGAATTCTGGGAATCAACCTCCCCCTTCGGCCTATCTTCCTAGTGTCCACTCCTCTTTTATTTTTTTAAAAAACTTTCCGTACATTCATTCTTTTCGAGTGATAAATGTGTGCTAGTGCCTCGCCTGTTGCCCACAGCTCTCCCCGAAGGAGACTTCCTGCTGCGTAAATGATTTTCATTTCTCAAAAGTGCAAACCTTGGGCTTTTTTTTTTTTTTAAGGTGAAGAGTACGTAAAGAGTCTAATAGGCCATCCTGAACTTATGGACCGGCTTGCTTGCCTGAATGACGAAGAGGTATGTTTCCAACTGCCAGAGTTATCTTTTGCTCTCCTGAATTTTGGCAGTAGGGTCTGTAACGGGTTTTCAACCTTGGTCCTTTGATGACTTGTGGACTTCCAACTCCCAGAATTCCTCAGCCAGCGGGCCTGGCTGAGGAATTCTGGGAGTTGGAAGTCCACAGGTCATCAAAGGGCCAAGTTTGAAGAGCCCTGGTCTATAAGGAGACTGAAAATGCCATGTTCCCTTCTATGTTGAACCCCTAGTTGCCACAGTGCAACGGACACTTTATGTGCAAATAAATATCTCTTACAGAATGAAATTGAAAGCAGCAAGATCATTTTTCCAGAGCATCTCCCACTCAGCAAACTCCAGCAGGGCATTAAGTCCGGCCTTTACCTTCAGGGCACCTTCAGAGCTAGCAGAGACAATTACTTGGAAGCCACCGTTTGGATTCACGGGAATGACGAAGAAAGAGAGGTTGGTTTAGTGCATTGATTGGCTGCAAATTTCTTTATTAGGAAACGGGAAGCTTTGTGGGAATTCCAGGGATTGTCTTCTCTGAAATCTTGTGTGTTGGAATGAAGAGTAAGGTGGGCACCGAAAATATGCATTTCTGTAGAGGTTTCTCTTAAAAACAACCATCATAGTCCCCTGCCAGTTAAGGATCAGATGGAACTTGCTGGCATCTTACTATTTCTACTGGCTAACATTGGCTTCTAGATTTAGGGGCCTCTTAGGTTAGTTACAGTAGTGGCCAAAATTGTGGAAACCTTTTGGGAAAAGTGTCCAGTAGAAATGCCACCTTTGGTTAAGTTTCCACCCATTTTTTTTTCTAATTTCTTTATAACTGTAGCCTTGTTCATTTAATAATACTATTTACATCGCTTTCTGGGCAACCAGTCAATTCTTTGCACCATTACTTTAATTTTATTACGTTTTACAAGCTCACTAAATGAAAGAACACAAAAAAACCCCAACCAACTTGATAGCAATCACATAACACACTGACAAAATCCTCCTCCCAGCTTCAATATATGACATCAATCACTGAATCCTACTGTGATATGATTGGCTCATTGCCAAAACAAGATGACACCTGATTGGCTCTCTAAACACTCATGCTCATTGGCTACAATCAGATGAAGGAAAGCTACCTGATATCAACCTAAGCAAGTTGTGCTTTTTCTGGTTATTTGGCTATAACTTTTCTTGGATTACAGTACAGATAATTGAACAAACTTTGTTGCATTACATTCTTGATTAAATTATCTTTCCATTGATATATAATTTTATGGTGCTACTCCCCCCCCCCAAAAAAAGTGGTGTTATTAGCCATCAAACCTCAAAAATACACTTTTCCCAAAAGGTTTCCACAATTTTGGCCACTACTATATACCTACAAAGAGCCCCTTGGAAAGTTTTTTGTTTTAAATATAGCGGGTCATCTTTAATAGTATCCACTTTGTAGCTGAGGTCACCGGATATTTCTTTAGCTCAGGACTTTTGGAATGCATCTCTCTTGTATGTCATCTCCACCTGCAGGTAGTTCTCGACTTACAACAGTTCATTTAGTGACCAAAGTTACAATGGCACTGAAAAAAGTGACTTATGACCATGTTTCGCCCTTATGACCATTGCAACATCCCCATGGTCACGTGATTAAAATTCAGATGCTTGGCAACTGGCTCATATTTAAGACAGTTGTGGGATCATGTGATCCCCTTTTGCGACTTGACAAGCAGAGAGTCAATGGGGAAAACCAGATTCACTTAACAACGGTGTTACTAACTTAACAACTGCAGTGATCCACTTAACAACTGTAGCAAGAAAGATCGTAGAACGGGCGAAATTTTACTGAACAAATGTTTCACCTCAGCCACATAAATTTTGGGCTCAGTTGTGGTCATAGGTTGAGGGCTACCTGTAGTGTGGCTTTTGGTACCCCAGTCTGATTGTTTGCTTCCCATTAAGGTAATAGTCCAAGGGCTTAAACACTTAAATCGCGCTGTGCATGAGGATATCGTAGCCGTGGAGCTGCTGTCCAAGGACGCCTGGGCTGCACCGTCCTCTGTGGTCCTGCTGGACGACGAGACCAAGAATGAGGAAGAGGATATTGAAAAAGAAGAGGAAGGTCAAAACGATGTAAGGCATCCTTTGCTTCTGTGCTTTCCCTTTACATTCTTGCAATGAAATCTGTCCGTCGGTGGTTCTGTTCAGAGGCTGGGCACAAGGGTGGGCAACCTTGGCTCTTTTATGACTTATGGACTTCAACACCCAGAATGCCTGAACCAGCCATGCTGACTCAGGAATTCTGGGAGTTGAAGCCCACAGGTGATAAAAAGAGCCAAGGTTCCCACCCCTGGCGCTAGGGAATTGCCCATTTGCTGTCAATCTGTGAAGAAGTATCGCCCTTTTTTGAAATGGGGCAAAATAATCATGATAATAAAGTTGCTCAGGCAGGAAACCCTATACCAGGGGTAGGCAAGCTTGGCTCTTTTATGACTCGTGGACTTCAACTCCCAGAATTCCTGAGCCAACATGGCTGACTCAGGAATTCTAGGAGTTGAAGTCCACGAGTTATAAAAGAGCCAAGCTTGCCTACCCCAGCCCTATACCATTTCAGACAAATGACTGTCCAGTCTCTTCTTAAAAACCTCCAGTGTTGGAGCATTCACCGCTTCTGGAGGCAGGTTGTTCCACTGGTTAATTGTTCTAACTGTCAAGAAGTTTCTCTTTAGTTCTAGGTTGCTTCTCTCCTTGATTAGTTTCCAACCGTTGCTTCTTGTCCTGCCTTCAGGTGCTTTGGAGAATAGCTTGACTCTCTTCTTTGGGGCAACCCCTGAGGTATTGGAACACTGCTATCATGTCCCCCCTCGTCCTTCTCTTCATTAAACTAGACATACCCAATTCCAGCAACCGTTCCTCATATATTTTAGCCTCCAGACCTCTAATCATCTTTGTTGCTCTTCTCTGTACTCTTTCTAGAGTCTCAACATCTTTTTTACATCGTGGTGACAAAAACTGGATGCAGTATTCCAAGTGTGGCCTTAACAAGGCATTGTAAAGTGGTATTTGCATTTTTATTTTTTTCTGGCATTCCTGAGATTGCCTAGTGCTAAATCCACACAACCAGCTTTATTGCGGGCTCCAGAGAACCCGGGTTCCAAGAGGCGTGTAAATGTAGGAAATGATGTCACAATGTCTTGCTGAGCTGGAGTTCTTGCCTTTCCTGCTATGGAAGGCATTTTATTTGGTTTCTCGGTGGCTGAAGGAATCCCCAAATCCAGCCTAGCCTGAGATCCTGTGAAATGTCCTCTGAAGCCTTTCCATTGTAATCAGCCTTGACTGAACCCTTTCAGCAGCAGACCCAAGAGAGAGAGTGTGGCTTTCCCACGAGTTAGATTTTTATTTCATTCCCATTCACCAGCTACTCCCACAAGCAATTACATTAACAAAATGTCTCATCTGCTCTACCTTCCTGCTTTTTCTCGAAATTCTTTTTTTTAATAATTCAAGTGCTTTTGAGATATTCTGTTTTACACTTGTTTTAATGATTGTTGATTAGACTAAGTGGCGTGCAGATGATACAAGGGCAGGATACACCATGTCTTAACAACTATTGAGTGTAATAAAATATAACGTGTTAATAATAATAATAGTAGTAGTAGTAGTAGTAGTAGTAGTAGTAGTAGTAGTAGTAGTAGTAGTAGTAGTAAAGTTGGAAGGGACATTGGTGGTCATCTAGTCCAACCCCCTGCTCAGGCAGGAACCCTATACCATTTCAGACAAATGGCTGCCCAGTCTCTTCTTAAAAACTTCCAGTGTTGGAGCATTCACCGCTTCTGGAGGCAGGTTGTTCCACTGGTTAATTGTTCTAACTGTCAGGAAGTTTCTCCTTAATTCTAGGTTGCTTCTCTCCTTGATCAGTTTCCATCCATTGCTTCTCGTCCTGCCTTCAGGCACCTTGGAGAATAGGCCGGGTCTTATAATAATTTTTGCTCCAAAAGATGCACTAGGGCTTATTTTCCAGTTAGGTCTTTGTTTGGGGGGAAATACGATACTAAATGTGTCCTTCTGGCTGATGAACTTAACTGGGGCTTATTTTTGGGGTGGGGCTAATATTATGAGCGTCCTGAAAAATCATGCTATTGCTTATTTTCCGGTTGGGTCTTATTTGGGGGGGAAACAGGGTAGATTTAAAGGCTATAGAAATTTAACTGCTTCGACTACCTGTTTGTCCATGCGATTCTCAATTGCAGCTATATGTTCTTAAACCCTTAGCCGAAGACTTCGGTGAATGCAGCAATGTTACGCCCAACCGGCAGAGTGGTGGGGATTATCAAAAGAAATTGGAGACCGTATTGTGGCATGCTGTCTAAGTCACGCATTAAAGAGGTAGGAACAAAGAAGGTCCAACCCCCCCCCCCCTTGATTTGGCAACTGTTTGCCATTGTAATAAAAAACCATTGTCCTTGCTCTTTGCCAGGCCAGGCGGCATTTATTCACGCCAGCTGACCGGAGAATTCCTCGAATTCGGATAGAAACCCGGCAGGCTTCCATCCTCGAAGGGCAAAGAATTATTGTGGCGATTGACGGGTGGCCTAAAACTTCCCGATATCCTAACGTAAGTTGGAAATGAAACACAGTGCGGCTTAGTAGTTGCTGAAGATGAACAGAGAGCAATAGACCAGTGATGGCGAACCTTTTAGAGACCGAGTGCCCAAACTGCAACCCAAAACCCACTTATGTATCGTCGAGTGCCGGGTGGGTGTGGCCCATTGGCTGGGTGTGGCCAGTGGGATGGGCGTGGCCCATTGGCTGGGCGTGGCTGCGGTGGTAACGGCAGACTGGGTGGGACTAAAAAGTTCAATCAATCAATTCCAACTTTGCAAGATCTTTTTTTTTTCCCACGAGAAGTTGAAATTGACTGATTGATTGAACCTTGTTTTTTTTTTGTACATGGCGGAGGCCTAAAGCGAAAAGGTTTTATTAAACCCAGCTGAAGGCCTAGGACTGGGGCGACGGCGCATGTGCCCACAGAGAGGGCTCTGAGTGCCGCCTTTGGCACCCGTGCCATAGGTTCGCCACCACTGCAATAGACTTATACACCGCCCCATAGTGCTTTAACAGAACTCTCTGAGCTGTTTACAAATATCAGCATATTGACCCCTAACAATCTGGGTCCTCATTTTTCCGACCTCGGAAGAATGGAAGACTGAATCAATCTTGAGCCGGTCAGGATCGAACCTCTGGCTGTGGGCATAGGTTTGCCTGCCGTGCTGCATTCTAATCACTGCGCCGCTACGGCTTTTATCATTGACCCTTTGCAAGAAAAAGCAGAAGACGTGTAGTCAGATTTGGCTGGCAATCAAAATTTTGCAGTTGTTTTAACGATTGTTGCAGTTGGTAATTGTTTCGAATGGGAGACCGTCAGGAGAGGCCAGGGTGGTAAGCTAGTAAATTGGGAGGGAGGGGAAATCTTGGAAAAAGATAAGAGAGAAGCCACTTCCGTATTAGTGCCTCAGGAAGTGACACGAATGCCCAGGTGGAGCCACCAGGAAAGGTCAGTCATAGGATTTTTTTTTTTTTTTTAAATCTGTGGACAATCTCTGCCTATAGATCTCCTTTTTGCAATTCTCTTACCCTTTTTTTCCCCTCCCCAAACCCAGCTTGAATTCATCCCTATTGTGATCCAGTTTGCCCTGGAACCCAAGTCCTCCTTGTCTTGGTTCCAAACCTTCAGCAAAAGTCAAAAAAATTAACTAACAGCCCAACCTGTAAAAGGTCTTCCCGATGACACAGAACTTGCCGTTTCCGGCTAGAATTTAGATCTTCCCTTCTTCATCAGATGTAGGATGGCCTCTTAAAAAAATACTATTCTGTCAATTGTCTTTATTATTCTTTATCCCCCCCCCCCCCCGCCGCCCAAATCTGCTTTTTGACATGGTTCCGAAAAGAAGCAACTTTACAAAGAACGTTGAGGCTTGATTACCTTAAAGAATCCTTTCATTGGCTACATAGTTTCGGCACGAACAATAGAAAGCCAAAAACTGAAACCCCCACCACCCAAGCACTCGTGACAACACACAACTCCCTCCCTCTCACAGTCATCAATCATATGCTCCGATTAATTTGAAGTGTGAATCTCTCCCTCCCTAGTTTCCCCTGTTACGCTGACCTTGGCTGTGCTATGCAAAGATATTGTTATGATTATAGCTGGCATACTTTCCCACTGACTGGGTTAACATTGTCTGCTTTAACTCTTGACGTGATAGGTAGGCTGAATAAGATATGTTTGCTTCTTCACCTATGGCAAGCAAGAACATCCAATGTTAGCAGACTTGACACTTTTTTTTTCATAGTTCTGATTAAACTGTACGTTGGTTTCAGGGACATTTTGTAAAGAATTTGGGAGCAGCTGGTGATAAGGAGACCGAGACCGAGGTCCTGCTACTTGAACATGACGTCCCTCATCAGCCCTTTTCTCAAGCGGTTCTTAGTTTCCTGCCACAGATGCCCTGGAGCATCACTGACGAGGTAGAGCAGGGGTGTCAAACTCAAATTTCATTGACGGCCGCATCAGCATTGCGGTTTTCCTTGGGGCGGGTGGGTGTGGCCAGGGTGGTGCGGCCTACTGGGTGGGCGTGGATGGAGTGGGTGTGGCCTACTGGGTGGGCGTGGCCAGCTCTACATCGTTCGCGTCAAGGGTGCCTGTGGGGGCCTGGGCAGGAGTGGGACAGATCTGAGGGTCTCTGGCAGAAGGGGGTGGGACCGGGGCAAGTGCCAAGGCACGGTCCATTTCTTCATTCCTCACAAAGGGTGACACCTCCCCAACATGCACCCAGGGGGCGGGGCCGACACGGCAGGGGCTGGTTCCTCGCTGTTTCCAGACGGCCTTGTGGAGCTAAGACTGAATGCGTTTCAGCATAGTTGGCCACCACAAAATTGTACATTGGCTCCCGGCCGGCCTGGGCCAGGGCCAAGGCAGCGGGGGCCGTCCCCTCACTGTTTCCAGGATGGCTTCGCAGGCCACATGAAACCACTTCGCGGGCCGCATCCGGCCCCCGGGCCTTGTGTTTGACATGTCTGAGGTAGAGGCCTAGCATCCTCAAGCAAACCCACCAACCTTTGCATCACCCATACAATTTTATTCCAGGTCGCAGGTCACACTTCATTGCCAAGAAATGAAGTCTGTAAGAATGAAGAAATGTGTTTTATTTCCTGCCTTGGCCCAAAGGTTTTTTACCCATTTAGCTATGGGATAGTTTTTCCTATTCAGCTTCACGCAGAATAAAGTGAAATTCAGTGTTGGTTGCCATTGACTTTTACTTTATTTTCTATTTTCTGCCGACAGCATAATTCGTTTATTTTCTGGTTTCTAGTTTCTGCCAATTAGCACGAAATAGGCATTTGCCTCTCCTCTTAGAGTCAGCAGTGGTTGTAAGTGGTGAGTGATTGCAGGACATTGTGTTTCCTTAACGCCTTTTCGTAGGCCATCCTTTTAATTTCGTCTTGTCTTTGTTGTTTTGCGTGGTAATTGTTTGTGTTCTAAGTTGCATTTTTCTCTTTGCATAGGGTTTGCGTAACTACTGTAATTGTCTACAAGCCCCTAGAAGAATTTTGTGGCTTCTAAGTCATATATAAAGATGCCTTTACTAGACTTTAAGGTGCCACAAAATTACTCTGTTGGTTTTAGGGAGACAGAACTGGCCTTCAGCAGAATCTAATCTGTACAGGTAGTCCTCAACTTACCACAGTTCGTTTAGTGACCGTTCAAAGTTACAACGGCACTGAAAGAAGGGAGTTACGACCGTTTTTCAGACTTAACGGCTGTTGCAGCATCCCCAGGGTCCCATGAGCAAAAATCAGATGCTTGGCAACTGATTCATATTTGTGATGGTCGCAGTGTCCCAGGGTCATGTGATCCCCTTTTGGGCTTTCAAACAACCCAAGTCAATGGGGAAGCTGGGATTCACTTAACAGCCGTGCCAGTAACTTAACAGCTGCAGTGATTCACTTAACAACTGTGGCAAGAAAGGTTGTAAAATGAGTCACAATTCACTTAACAACTGTTTCACCTAGCAACAAAATATTTGGCTCAGTTGTGAACTATCTGTATTAGACTTAGACCAGGGGTAGGCAACCTTGGCTCTTTTATGACTCGTGGACTTCAACTCCCAGAATTCCTGAGCCAGCCATGCTGAGGGGAAAGGGAGAGGTTTCCAAGCTGAGCCGTGCTGGCTCAGGAATTCTGGGAGTTGAAGTCCACGAGTCATAAAAGAGCCAAGGTTGCCTACCCCTGACTTAGACTTAGATTTAGACTTAGAATAACTTTATTGTCATTTTAGATGTACACTAATCAGCATACATTGAATTGAAATTTCATTGCACTCAGCTTTCAGAGGGTAACCACCTCCCATATACACTACATAAACATGACAAAAAATTACATACACACATACACGAAACAGATAAACAACACAATCTAGTTCAGATGTATACGTCGAGTTTACAAGACGAATAGCATAAGGAACAAAGCTGTTGCGGAATCTACCAGTCCTGTGAGAAGTAGCAAGCCTTGGGTTTTTTTTCCACAGTACTTTTGCCAATGACATGAGCTTCTTTTTGAAAATGAACTTTCAGGACATGAAGCAGAGAGAGGACTTGAGGCACTTGTGTGTGTGCAGCGTGGATCCTCCTGGATGCACCGATATCGATGATGCGTTGCACTGCAGAGAGCTGAAAAATGGAAACCTGGAGGCAAGTGCTTTCGCGGGTCTTTGAAAGGCCGGTGTGCATTTTCATCTTTTTATGGAGCTCTTCTTGAGCATCCTGACTTCTTCCTGCAGTGAAGGAGCAAAAACATCAGGGATAGAAAATGGGATAAGCCTGGAAGGAATAGTAATAGCACTTAGACTTGTATACCGCTGCGTAGGACTTTACAGCAGCGGCCCCTAGCCTTTTGGTGGCCATGGCACAGTTCCACGGAGAGTGGTTTTTCTGCAGACCGGGGTGTGTGGTTTCGCACACTGCCTGCATCCTGCGTGTGTGTGGATGGGGCTTCGCTTGCTTGTGTGGCCCAGTTCTTGGCAGGCCGTAGCCCCGGTGCTGGTCTTTGGGTTGGGGACCCCTGCATTACAGCATTCTCTGTAAATATCAGGGCAGTTTACAATGTCAGCATATTTTCCCCAACAATCTCGGTCCTCATTTTACCGTCCTCGGAAGGATGGAAGGCTGAATCAGACTTGAGCCAGTCAGGATCAAGCTCCAGACTGGCAGCAAGATTACCTTATCCACAAAACATGGAGGGACATTTCGATCCCCACAATGGACAAATGGCTGCAAAAGTTGATAGTTAAATTGACTGCTTTGATCAAAGAAAAAAAATATTTGTACTTTTGTTTCTACTTGGAAACCACTTCTGGACTTTGTGCTTGAGATGGGAAAAAGTATGCTTTGATTTTGGGTTTTGCTGATTAGATAGATTTGTTGTTATAGAAATGACTAATATTATTATGTAAAAGTAAAAAGTTGAGGTACTGTTTTATTCTACTGCACTAGAAGGAGTTGGAAGTCAACGCCTTTTTTATTTTTTCCCTTCTTTTCTACATTTCTCCTTTCCCACATTTCTCCTTTCCCCTTTCCCTCCCTTCCCCCCCCCGACTATTTGCTTTTATATTTTATATTATAAATGAATAAAAACTGTAAACGTGAAGGATCAAGCTCCAGAGTGTGGACAGAGTTAGTCTGCCATTCTGCATTCTAACCTCTTGGAAAAGATAGCAAAGGAAGATCACTTCACATGATGCTCTTGAGACAGTCAGGAATTCAGGAAAAGCTGTAAACTTTCCTAAATGCTAAAGAATCTCTCCGTTTTCCAGGTTGGGGTGCACATTGCAGATGTCAGCCACTTCATCCGCCCAGGAAATGCTCTAGACCAAGAGTCAGCCAAGAGGGGCACCACAGTGTACCTGTGTGAAAAGGTAATTTTTGGAGAGTAGTTTTCTTCCCTTGCTTAAAGCATGGCTCTCCCATCCCACCTCCTTGAGTACGCTGGGATGCAAAGCTCCTATTGCCCTTGTGTGTTTCAGTTGTTTGAATGAGTGGGAAAGGATTACATTTGTGCTTGTCTGACCATCTCTGTCAGCTCACTTTGGAAGTGTTTACAGACCACAATGCCATTTCCGTTTCTTGCAGAGGATTGATATGGTTCCAGACCTGTTGAGTTCCAACTTATGCTCACTAAGATGCAGCGTGGACAGGTAATTGTTAAGAGGCCAGTCTTGAGCTGTTGACTCTCCCATTCCTTTGTAGATTGGAAGCAGTTTCGTTAACAGCATAGGCGTCATGGTTCCGACAGATGAAACTCTTCAAAAGAACTTCGAGGCATTGTTTACCTAAAGAATCTTTTATTCGAATAGCATAATATCGGCACTTACATAATCAAAGCCAAAAACTGAATTCCCCTCTCCTGGACACATAGTATCAAAGCATAATTCCCTCCTCCAATTAACAATCATAAATCACATTCACCAATTAGCTTGAAGTGCAGGCTTCCTCTCCAGTTCTCCAGCCCACCAATTCTTTATCAGCTCTGGGCTCCATAACCTTGATTCTCACCCTAAGTTTAGTGTTATGTCTAGCTAGACTCTCAATCACATCCCCCCCCAGCATCATCTAACTCTAAAAGTGAAAGGGAAAAAGGTGGCTACATTTCCATCTGTTGCCAATGCAAAACATCCGATGTTAGCAGCGTTGACAATAGGGCTCTCTCAGTGGTTGCTTTCCCCCCAGAGATCCAGGCTCAACCCCCAAAGTCAGTGGTGCTTGGGGGCTAGGAGGTACTGTGATAGGAAGGGGTGGAGCTTAAAGGAGGGCACACTGAAATAGGACAGGGGAGGGAATGTCCTTGGCTGACATTGTGAACGTCTTGTGGTGTGCTTTCCTTTTCTGTCGGTAACTCTCTTCCTTTCCTTAGGCTGGCCTTTTCCTGTATTTGGGAAATGAATCAGAATGCTGAAATCTTGGCGACGAGATTTACAAAAAGTGTCATTAATTCCAAGGTAGAGTTTAAAATGTCCGTGGCTGTTTAGAAACCCCAGTGCTGAGATAATTGATTTTGGACTTTGATGAACTCTGAAAGCAACTTGCGTTCATTAAGGGGATATAAAGAAATAAAGTAGAAATACTGAATGTCCTGCATTCAGATCTAGATTGCACACCCTGAAAATACTCTTCCCAAATTGAAATCATTTACTCAAGAGGAAATATTTCATTAAACTATTGGAGTAGAGAGACCCAGACAAGACGTTTGGCTATTTCTTCCATGCCCTGTTCTTTTAAGAGTCAAACCTCTTTAATTTGCTTTTATTTTTTAAAAAAAGTAAGTTTCTGTTCCATTGATTAAATGGTTATTCTAGTGGACAAGAAAGCCACATCTATCATTTGTGTAACACACATAACACACACTACCATAAAAATGGGAGGGGCAGAATGGCAGAATGAAAATAAAGTAAAAAGAAACGGTTGTGTATTTCTCCAATCACACACTCAGCAGCCTCAGGCTACGAGGTCTCTTGCTGATATCAGAAATCTCATGTTTGACTTTTATCCCATTCAAATCGATTTCCTTTAGAGATTCTCCTCCTTCCCTACATTCCTTGTTTTCCTTTTGTCTTGTTTGTTCTTTGAAGGCCTCACTTACATATGCGGAGGCGCAAATGAAAATAGACTCTGCCACGTTGAAGGATGACATTACTATGAGTCTGCGTGGGCTGAACAGCTTGGCCAAAATCCTTAACAAGCGTCGGCGAGAAAAAGGGTAGGTAGTTCAGGCTATGTGTAACGAAAAACAGTTTTTCTTTCATGACTTGTTGCAATCCTTGGGATCTGACTGGCAAAGAAAGAAAGAGAGAGAGAGAGAGAGAAAGGGAGGGAGGGAAGGAAAGAAGGGAAGGAAGGAAGGAAAGAAGGAAAGAAAGAAAGGAAAGAAAGAAAGAAAGAAAGAAAGGAAAGAAAGAAAGAAAGAAAGAAAGAAAGAAAGAAAGAAAGAAAGAAAAAGAAAGAAAGGAGGGAGCCAGCCAGCCAGCCTGCCTGCCTGAGAGCATCCTTTGGGCATTAGTAATGTGATTAGACCAGGGAAATAAGATCATTTTTCTGAGAGGCATCAGAGTCCAGCCACTGATGATCTCCTGGGATCTCAGGGTTTTGCTACAAATGCTCCTGGCAAGGCAGAGTGTCACTTGTGAATGAATCCATGTGAATCCAGATCTCCGAAGGCAGGAGGGCTGGTCGAGATGCCGACCTGTCTTCAAATGGATCCACTCTTCCCACAGAATTGCGTGGCGGAGCTGCTTCACAGTAATGGTAAAGATCTGCGTCTCTTGTGTAAAACGTTTGCTTTGTTCTTCTTGTTTCCTAGGGCTTTAACTCTTTCTTCACCTGAAGTACGATTCCACATTGACAGCGAAACCCACGATCCGATTGATTTGCAGACGAAGGAACTCAAGTGAGGGTCTGCCTTTTCTTTTAGGGAATCAATCTGCCAGGTCCAGAGGGTCCTTCCTCCTAAATCTTCAGGATGCCATTTCCTAATGATGTTCGGGATGACCCTGGCATGCTGAAGACATAACAACGTGGTTTAATGCTAGGCGTGAACCAGGTCACTGTGAATTTTAACCCAAATTGTAGCCTGGTACGACATGTGAGCCCAGCCATTTGGATAGTCTTATTCAGGATCAAAAGAGGAAGAGCATCTGTGACAAAGCAGTGAATATTGCATGCTTGGTTATTGTCCAAGGAGCAGTTTTATCATGCTCAGAGTAACCCTTCTGCTGTTCTTGTACTGACATCATTGGAGGCAGCCCCAAGTTAGAATAGAATAGAATACTTTATTTGGCCAAGTGTGATTAGATAAACAAGGGATTTGTCTCTGGTGCAGAAGCTCTCTATACAGGCAAAGCAACAGAGTAATAATAATCATACCAACGATACCAGATAGATACTCTATCTATTTAATATTTAAAAATTAGATCTAAAGGGAAAAAGAAAATAAATTATTATGAATATGTTTGATTTATTGATTAACCCAGGTAATATCCACAATGTTTTTGATTTATCAAAGGGGATATTGTATCATTAAGTAGATGATTTAGTATGGTGGGAAATAGATAACTTTTAGGAAATAGAACAAAATTATATTCAAATAGATAAAATGTGTATTTTGGATATTAGATTTTATTGTGAATCGAGATAAGGGAAAGTTTGGTTACCTAAGGCTTGAAAATTATAAATATCAAAGGTTAAATTGGAATATTGATGAGAAATTAAAATTTGGGTAAAAATTAATAAGAGGATATGGATTGTCTATGAAGATTGAATGTAATTCAGGTACGTATAAGCTAAAAAGTTATTGATAAATGTAATAATGATGTTTTCATTGAGTTGATATAATAAGAATTGTACTAGCTTGAATAAGAGACAGTAAATGTTAAGGGAAAAAGAGAAGAAATATTTGTTGTTGCAACTTGAGACTTGTACTAAAGATTTTGTTATCGAACTATTGATTAACCCCGTCACCGCATTGCTTTTTAAATACCTAAATGTAAAATTGGAAAATTAATAAAATATTTTTTAAAAAAAATAATAATAACGATACCAATAAGAGGGGGTAGTAAAGAAGATGAGAAGGATAATACTGTTACAGTCATACAACATGGGTAGATATACTTAGACATAAGACAGTTGACATAAGGCATAAGTTGGCTGGAAAAGCTTTGAATGGGAGCCTTGATGAAGTTGCTAAATTGCAGCCATGCTTTACTGGTGTATCGCTGTTTTCTTGCCCTGCAGATGAACAGGACAATCTTACAATGTTTGAACAGAACAAGCAGCTTTCTAAGTGTGGTTTTTCCCAAATTGGATGCATCGCTAAACAATTACAAACACGGGAGGGTGCTTCCCATGGGTGCTGGATAGCCAGAAGGCCCAAATGCTTATGGCTGGCATCCTGAGATTGGCATTTTGCCACTGAGGTTCTGGGAAAGGAGGAATTAGTGCCACTGATTGGATCTGGGCAGCCCTTGATGGTTTTGCATTGTCCAGGGTGCATAAAAGAAACCGCGTCCAGTTACAGGGCCGCGGTGTTCCTGATTTGGGTGCTCCTGCTGGAATTTTATCGTTCTCAGTTCCTCTTCCTCAGAGCAAACAAATCCATTAAGTCAAGACTGGCTGTTTTCTTGGGAGTCTTACCAGCCCCCTTTTCCCTTTCTGCAGAGAGACCAACTCCATGGTGGAAGAGTTTATGCTCCTGGCTAACATCTCCGTTGCCCAAAAGATCTACGAGGAATTTTCAGAGCATGCCTTGCTGAGGAAGCATCCGGCTCCCCCACCCTCCAATTATGACATCCTGGTGAAGGCTGCAAAGTCTAAGGCAAGCCGCTCCAGAAGGTTTTCGGCTGGTGGGATGATGTGTGGAAGGCTCGGCACGTGTGAATGGGGTCTCCTAAATCCTTGCTGGCCTTTCCTGCCAGTAAAAGAGGCTCAGGAAAAGTTGTGCCAATTGAGAAAGTTTCTCCCTTAACTTTGGTTTTGAAGTAGTTTTAGAGGTGCAGCACAGTTGGATCCGGTTAGATCCTTTGGTGCCTTTGTGTACTGGGTTTCATAACCTTCCTTGGTATGGATATTTGAACTAGACTGTGATGTTTTTCTGCGTCATATATGTTTGTGTATCTGGACATATGCATAATGGTATTTTTTTGAGAGCTGAATGCAACAAAATTTCATTTTAATGTATGTTGATTAGTGTACACTTAAAGTGACAAAGATATTCTATTCTATTCTATTCTACTATTCTATTATGCATTCTATTCTATTCCATTCTGTTCTATTCCGTTCTATTCTATTCTATTCTATTCTATTCTATTCTATTCTATTCTATTCTACTATTCTATTCTGCATTCTATTCCATTCTGTTCTATTGTGTTCTATTCCATTCTCTATTCTATTCTATTCTATTCTATTCTATTCTATTCTGCATTCTATTCTATTCTATTCCATTCCATTCTGTTTTATTCCGTTCTATTGTGTTCTGTTCCATTTCATTATCTATTCTATTCTATTCTATTCTATTCTATTCTATTCTGCATTCTATTCTAATCCATTCCATTCTGGTCTATTCCGTTCTATTGTGTTCCGTTCCATTCTATTCCATATTCTATTCTATTCTATTCCTATTTCTGTTCTATTTGTATTCTATTTCTATTCCATTCTTTTTATTCTGCTCATGCCTTGTATTTCACCATCAATATTTGTGATACTTATGCAAAATTCAACTGTTTTGAAACCCCATTTTCTGTTTCTGCCGTAGGGTTTGGAAATCAAAACTGATTCTGCAAAATCTCTGGCCGATTCCCTTGACCGAGCCGAGTCTTCTTCTTTTCCCTACCTGAACACCCTCATACGCATCTTAACCACCCGCTGCATGATGCAGGCCGTTTACTTTTGCTCTGGAATGGACAGCGACTTTCACCATTATGGCTTAGCGTCGCCCATATATACTCATTTTACCTCTCCGATCAGAAGGTAGGGCCGCTTATGGGCTTACTTCAGAGTAAATATCAAGTGAGGCCCATTATATGGATTATGGTGCCTGATTTGATAGCCATTTTATTTAGTTATATTTCATACTTCTTAGCTGCCCATCTCTCTCGATTACCTTACCAAGGGCCACAAAACAGCATCCCAACGTGGCTTCAGTTGCCAGTGAATATTTAATTGCTATTTTGAGGTTACACAAAAATGGGAAAGGGAAGTTTGTCCTACCCCAAAAGTTATTCCATATGAACCCCCCCAAAAATTCTGTTTAGCAATTGTCTTAAGTTTCTATTCATGGAGGCTTAAGAACCTCTGTGGAAAATCCTTGTTTGTAAATCCTTAACTCTTTTTGATTTGGGGGCGATGTACCCTAAACAAAATATTTGTGGCTTATTCTCAGTGAAAAATTTTCATTTATCTCATTGCAGATACGCGGATATTATAGTACATCGACTCCTGGCTGTTGCTATCGGGGTGGACAGTACTTACCCCGAGCTCACCGACAAACACAAATTGGCGGATTTGTGCAAAAATCTCAATTATCGGCACAAAATGGCTCAGTACGCTCAGAGGGCTTCCATTGCTTTCCACACCCAGGTGAATAGCCATTCTCAGCTCCAGAATGTTTAGGAAATGTGGAATGTTAGAATCGGAGTCCCGAGGGCCCCAGAGAGGCTTAAAAGAGCTTGCCACCCTTGTGTGCACTTGTTCACAGTATCACTACCAATCTGTTGCCGATCAGCGGAATGGCAAGTAGTGTGGAGACGAGCCTGTTGTAAATTCAACGTTTGCAAGGTTTTGGAGTAGAGCTGGATCCGTATGATGGGTGTTGTGTATGTGTGTGTGTGTGTGATTTTATGAAAGAGAGTTTGATTCTTCGGCGATAATGTCAACACGTGTTGTATATCAGCAGCTTACACTTTCTTTTCCCTCCAGTTGTTTTTCAAAAACAAGGGCGAGGTCAGCGAAGAGGCCTACATCCTGTTTGTCAGGAAGAATGCCATTGTGGTCCTCATTCCCAAGTACGGCTTAGAAGGCACCGTGTTCTTTGAAGAAAAGGCCAAGCCTAAGGAAGGACTTGTGTTCAACATGGAGGTACAGCTTTCTTTTGCAAAGGCAAAATTACTTTTTTTGTCTTAAAACACATAATGTCGGATGGCAAAGGACTCTAGGACAGCGGTTCTCAACCTATGGGTCGCGACCCCATTTGGGGTCGATCGACCATTTCAAGGGCGTCGCCAAGCAAGGCTGTCCGCCATTTTTTTCCCCTTTTCCGGCAGGTGCCTTACCTCCCATGGGCTGGGCCAGCTGGTGGTCGGCCTGCTCCGTCTCTGCCGCTTGCCAGCTACGCCTCGGCTGGCGCAGGGGGCGGAACCACGCATGTGCGGCGCTCCCGGGCAGTGAAAGTCCTTGACTTAACGACCAGTTGGGTAGTCCTCGACTTACGACCGGTTGGGGGTCGCGGCATTAAAAAAGTTGAGAACCACTGCTCTAGGACGATTTAAGTGCTGGTAATCCTTGGCTTATAACCTTTTGCGTAGTGACGGTTCGAAGATACAATGAAAAAAGCGACGCAAGACCATTGCAGCGTCCCTATGATCATGTGACCCAAATTCAGACACTTGACAACTAGCTCACATTTACGATGGTTGCAGCGTCCTGGGGTCACGTGATCGCCTTTGGCCACTCTCTGGTAAGCAAAGTCAGTGGGAAAGCCAGATTCACTTTATAACCGCGTTACTAACTTAACAACTGCGTACCGATTCATTTAGCGACGGTGGCAAGAAAGGTCATAAAATGGGGCAAAACTCATCTTAACAATTCGTCTGGCTTAGGCACAGAAAATTGGGGCCTCAGTTGTTGCAAGACAAGGATTGCCTGTAGCGCTTCCTAAACGGAAAATATCAAATGTGCTCTTCTCCACAGATTCCTTCCCTCACCGTGGAAGGCACCACTTTCTGTACGTTCGACAAGATTAAAGTCAGCATCGTGCTGGATTCTTCCAACGTTCAACATCAGAAAATCCGCATGACGCTGGTAGAGCCCAAGGTAGGTTCCTGGTTAACATGGGTGAAGGCTGTGGAGACGCACCTGAAGCAGCCCTTAGTCTCTTTAGGAACCTTACAGCAGGGCTTTTCAACCAGTGGTACGGGTACCACCTGTGGTACATTGGCACCTGGCAGGTGGTACGCGACCATCCTAGAAAAGTGGTAGTGGGGAGGGGAATGAGCTGAACCGGTGGCAGCACCGCACAAGCCTGAGCGAGAGATGGCTGGAGCTTGCAGGGCTGTCAGGGCTCAGCGGAAGCACCAGGATCAGTGCCAGGCTCCAGCTGCAGCTCAGCACTGATCCTGCCGCTTCTGCTGAGCCCTGAAGAAGCACCAATCAGCTGGAAAGCAGCACTGATACTGGTACTTCTGCTGAGCCCAGAAGAAGCGCCGATCAGCTGGAATGTTGCAGCATCCCCAGGGTCTTGTGATTTACATTCAGATGCTTGGCAACTGATTCATATTTATGACGGTCACAGTGTCCCAGGGTCATGTGAAGTGACCAAAACCTGCTGCAACCACCCAGCAGACGGGAGGAATAAAAACCAAACACCCCCCATCCCACCCCCGCTGCCAATCCTCAACAGAAATGCTCACAACAATGAAAACCTCGGACAGGCGGGCGTCTTGCTCGGCTGTGGCTTGGGGGGGACTTTTTTCAGTGCCATTGTAACTTCGAACAATCACTAAGCGAACTGTTGTAAGTCGACTACCTGTACTTTATCCTTTTTTCCTTTTTTTTTTTTTGATCATCAAGTTTTTGACACCTTGTTAGGCGACTGGTGGTACTCAGATGTTGCCATATCCTAAAAGTGGTACAATGGGTGAAAAGGTTGAAAAGCCCTGCCTTACAGCAAACCCGCTAGACGGGGAAGACCCAAAATGTCCTGAAAAGAAGCACTGGAAAACTTTTTTGGGGGGAGGAGACCGTGACTTTGAATGGTTTTAAAGGATGCTTTTGCTTACAGACGGAGGCTTCTCAAAAGGCCTCGTCATCTGAGATTTTAAAACTTTGGTTGATAAGCTAGTTTTTTTAAAAATAACCCAGATAACTCTCGTTTCCTTAGTTAGGTTGAACATGATTTTCTTATTTTTCAGATATTAGGCTATTCCAGAATCGCTGCACAATCAAGTGGCAATGCAGAACCAGAAATGAAAAAGAAGAAACTGGGAAAGTAACTTCATTTTAGAAATGAATGAATGTTATTTGGTTAGGAGATAAATTATATTGAGGGAGGGGGCAAGGATTTTTTTTATACATATATACTTGTAGAAAAGATTTTTAAATTGCCCATTTTAAAAACCATCCCTGATAATAATACAGTTGCGTATTCCTGCTTGTATATCTTATTAAAAAAAAATCCAACCAAACCTGAACTTCTGAGTCTGTCTACAGAAGCAGGGAAAGAACACAATATTTTAACATTTCCCGTGACAAAGGAAAATAGGTACCACTTAAAACTTTTGCTGCATTTCAGCTTTTTCATTTGGAGGCACCTTTTAATTTGTCAGCAAAACAAAACCAGTTTCTAAAATCTTTTAAACTATTTGTCAGTCCCTTGGCCCATCTTTATAAAAAAAAAAGGAAAAAAAAGTGGTAAAAGGAGAATGATAAATAGGATTGAATAGATCAGAAGCAGAGAACAGCCAGGAGAGGCCATGATAATGTTCATGTTTTCCAGGCGATGAGGTGTGTTTTTTCCCCCCATGGTATGAAGATACTTGATAAAGATTGAAATATTTGGGATATGATGCTTCTACCAGATAAATCTATCTTGAGGAGAAGAGAACCTGCTTCCATTTTCTAAAAGAAAAGAGGCAGAGCATGAGGAGATGAATTAGAAGCAGCATAATCTCCAAAGGGTTGACAGTTAAAGTGGTAAGCTTCCGATTCTCAATTTGTGCTTCCAGTTTGCTAATCCACACCTCTCTTGTTACAGATAAAATTGCCAATCCCCAGTTACTTAATTAACTTATTTAATGAGCGCTGTAAAGAAAATCCAGTTCCCAGCTAATTAGGAAGGAGGGATTAAACAGCCAAGGAAGAAAAGTTACAAGTGAAGTAAAATGGGAAAATCCCGGTAATCTTGCCATGCAGCCTCTGAGCTTTTCCACAGCAGGGATGAAATATAGCAAAAGATAACATCATCACAATTTTTTTAAAAATACAGAGGACAGACTTGAACACTGGGCGCTATCTAACAAAATGAAATTCAATGGTGAAAAAAGTAAGGTTCTACATTTAGGCAAGAAAAACCAAATGTACAGGTATAGTATAGGGGGTACCTTGCTCAATAGTAGTAACTGTGAGAGGGATCTCGGAGTCCTAGTGGACAATCACTTAGATATGAGCCAGCAGTGTGCTGCAGC